TTCAGAGTTTTTAGATGAAACAAGTGCGGCCCTGCCCTCTTTCGGCAGAAAAATGGCGTAGGTGCCTTCGTCCACTCATCTGGTATGTAAGTTGAAGGTAGGCAGGCTGTAAAAGTCAGGGAAATTAGAGGGCACAGTATGTTCTTAACTCCATGTGTGGAAAAAGATTCCGTCAAGTCCCGGAGATTTGTAGGGTGGGAAGCACGGTATAGCCCATTACACCTCATCATAACTTACGATGTCCCTTACGGTGTTGCCTATGGACGATTGGGTCCTAAGGCGAGGTATCGGAGGAGAGCACCTTAGGAAGCGAGTGCTCATAAGGATCTCCAGTATTTCGCTACATGACTATGTCCAGTCACTGTTAGGCTTCTTCGTAGAGTTCCCTACATATGTAAGTAATATTAAAATTTCCAAAAAAAAATATTATCACAGAAGTAGAATTTGTAGGTACAAATCCAATGATATAATCTAAAAATAAACTCGATTGATCTAGTGCCTGCAACTACGCATAAAGTACATAAAAAAAAAATAGATTTTTAAAAACTAAAAAATACTAAATAGGCGTAGTGCTCCTATTCATAGTAGCACACATACACATACAAAGCCACTCCAAACAAACTGGCCGCAACACTTCAGGCTAAACACCAACGAGTACTTAAGTGAAAACTTGTATTATGAACTTTGATTATATGTAAATATGTTCGTAGGTATAAAGGTGAAAGGAGCAAATCTTTGCTAGGACCTCACGAGAAAGTCACGTTGGAGTCTCTGTGCACAAAAAAAAACGCGTATGCGCCTAAAAGCCACTTAAAACGACGTGCTTAGCCAAACTAACTCAGCAAGCCAAACGTGAAGGCAAACCCGCTGACACGGAGTATGGGGCGAGAGACTAAAAACACGCGACAGATAATAGATAGCAAAATAAGAAATATTTGAAGGAAGCTGCTCAAATGAAGCGGCGTATCCAACGCGCTCCTGCTAGTCAACTAAAAATTTTTGTTTTCCATTTATGTATGTATGTACGTCAGTGTGTGAATGTGTAGCTGTTTGTGAAAGCCCATGATATTTTTGCATCGTGCCTACAGATTCTTTGACGCTCTTGTTTGGCTTTATGTATTTTTTGGGAATGTATGCTTGGCTTTTGTGAGTTGGTAGGCTCCTCTATTTGTGTCTATTAACCTGACAGCGCTGTGAAATGGGGATGGTGAGCGTCGCGCACTGTGTATTAAATTATCAAGATTTACCTAAATCATGTGCGAATACAAGAAAATTGTGTGAGGAATAAAATTTTGTAGGTGAGAAATGCAAATAAATGGAAAGACGTGCCAAGCAGTGTTGCCACACATGGGCTTTTCCCACCAAAACTGGTAGGTTTATTTCCATTTGGTAGGTTGGTAGGCTAGATTGGATTTTGGTAGGTTTCAAGCTCCTAATAAGTGCATGCAATTTTCTCCTAAATAGGCAGTATAGCTACTTTATGCTTTCACTTAATTATACTAAAACTTAATGGGCTAAAAAACTGCGTACTCAAAATTCCAATTAATTTGAAAAATTTTAAACGTGATTAAAGCAAACTGCCAAAAAAAAAAGTTCGGAATGCAACATCACAAAAAAAACAAAGAATACATATAACTGCATAAAACACCGTTGGAATGGATTTTCGAGTAACGGATGACCAAAAAAAATAATAATCAAGTGCACCCTGCGAATTTGCAACCCTATGCAGTTTAATGTCTGGTTTACACATTCGCTTATGCAAAATTAGCGAGTTCATCCACCGGATGAGCGCCTGTAAATAGTCAAAAGATGACGTTTGTATTTGACTGGTAAAGCTCAAACAGTCAACGACGTAGCGTTTCTTAGGTGCGTTCGTTTAAAATATCCAACAGAAACCAACCAACTGCCAAATTCCGGCGAAATGTCATCTGTTCGCTCACAAGAGAGAAATATCCAAAATAGTACGCGAACAGAAAATTTGCAGAAACTTGCAAGTTAGACGAACAGCTGATATAATTTTTGTTTACATACAAAAGTGTAAAATTTAAAACGTACGAAAAGTCATCGCAAAGTGTTATACTGACACAGTTTATTGATTAAACAAATAACTACTTATTTCTTACAAGTTTAATTTGTCGCATTTTGTAATTTTTATCTTCCAAACCATCAAATTAAATTTTGTGATTTGCGTAAATGCCAACCAGCTGTTTTTGATCAGCTGTTTCCCTGTTGGCAAATTGCTGTTGGCAAAAATTTTTCCAACAGAAACTAACAGCTTCCCCTCAAAATGAAATGTCACTTTGCTCTCTCAATTTCCCCTACTTTGCAAGTTTTTTGCGTACGCGAACGCAAAAACCTGTAAGTTTTGGTTAAACATGAACAATTAACAGCTACGCGAACGAACCTATTATAAGGTTTATTAAAAGCAAAATCCCGCAAATCGTGAAGTACGGGAACAAACCATGTGTATAATTAAAATTTTTATGAATTTCAAATATTCAGGGCTATAACGGAATCCATCGTAGAAAATCTACGAATTCGAATACTATGCATACTATGAATACGAAAAAACATGTTATCACTGAGTCCGAGCAGAGATGCTCAGCAAACTAAATGACACGATTTCGTTTTGTTGATGCGCAAAAATAACTTATCAAAATAATTACGTTACGTTTCAAATTAACGAAACAAAACTCAATCGTTAACGTTGAAACGAAATAAATTACCAAAATCATCAAAATAAATTGCACTGGCAATCTTCAATTCGCCTTTCGGTTTCGGAAATAAAAAATCTCTTTCGAAAGACCTTAACATGCAAGGTGTGACTGCTCATGCAAACTGCTTTCTGAAATTTCTCCATTTGGCAGCCTTTTCGAAATATATTGCATTGCCACGTCTGACACGCTCTATACCAGGGGTGGGCAAGGCCGAGGCCGCATTAAGATTCTAAATGCTACAAAGAGCCCAAAAAAAAAAACCATAACAAAAATTTTATTTTTAAATAAAATTATTAGAAATGAAAAACATTCATTCTATTCTAATGTACGTAAGATAGATATTCACCCTCATTGCGAGAGTCGTGTCAAATGCAAGTCGTTTTTCGAGGATCGAATCGTATCGAAAATTTCACGTCATTGCCTAAAATTTCCACTCGACTAGTGTATGTATTAGAACGGAAAAACTTTTTAGCACTGTACAGTTTTCGACAATTTTGGTTGTTTACTTATTAACCGACTTCCAAAAAAGGAGGAGGTTATCAGTTCGTCGGAATATTTTTTTTTTTTGTTTTTTTTTTTTATGTATGTTACCGCATAACTTTCCGATCCGATCAGTGGATCATGAGATATATATATATATATATATTCTTTTTATATGAGAGTTGAAGTCGGTTTTTTTTTGCTAAAAATTACTTGTTTCAGTACGTGTTGTGTCAGTGTTGTCGAGTCATGCAATTTAGCCTAATTTATGACTTCCGCAATGAGGCTGATTAAGAAAATTCAAAGGATCCCTTTGGCCAAATTTTCAAAGTCTGGTTTTACGTCAGTTGAAGTCGCTCGTAACAGTTCTGTAAAATGTTGGTTAGTCAATTGTGAACGGTATTTTGACTTTACGAATTTCATTGTAAAGACTCACGGTTATACGTTGTACCAAAAATTTAAAATATACGGCACATAGCTGTTTTCAACAGCGGATATTTTAAATCTGGTTCTTGTTTCCGGAATTCAAGCAATGGCAAAGCTTTATGTTGCATTCTGCTTTTAAATCATATAGTTTTACGAATAGGGGACCAATTTATCCTCTTTGACAAATGCAATATTTTTTTCTAGCCATGGAAAATGATTAAATATTGGAAGGTGAATGGGATAAAGAGTACGGCCACGTATGCTATAATGCATAAAAAACATAAGTGGTATTCATAGTCGTGGCTGTCAACAGTCGTTGCTTGAGCTCATCTGCTCTTTTGCCAGACTGCCAGGCCACTTGCTCATTTTGGTGAATACCACTATCGTTTTTAGGAGAAATTATTACTCAGCCTTACCACGTTTCGGTTTTGCTCCCAAATTTATTGGTATGATTTATTTCTTGTATTTTTCTATAGCCATTCAACCAAAAACACTAACGGCCGGACGGTTTCACCCTCAATTTAAGTGAACTATAAATTTATTTCTTCTGTCAGTTTTCATTTTAAATTCACTTAAATAGCTTTCGTCAAACTGGCTCTCAATTGTTAAAAATGTGGACAGTTTTTTATTAAATTTAAAATTTCATTCAATTAAAACATGTTTGTAGAAAACTCACGACGTTGGTGTCAATAATATTAAAAATAAAATCTCTCAATTGTTAAAAATGTGTACAGTTTTTATTAAATTTAAAATTTCATTCAATTAAAACATGTTTGTAGAAAACTCACGACATTGGTGTCAATATTATTAAAAATAAACTTTCAAGAACTTACTCAGGCTAAATTTTATATTTTAAATTTATAACCGGAAATATTTTTTCAATTTAGCCCAATACAAAATTTATAAATAACGAAAAGTTCTTACAGTTATTTGAACAATGTAAGCTGAAAATTTACAGCGCTGCATAAACAATTCATTTCAAAAAGCTTATATACCAAAGCGTTAAAAAAAAGACTCCTTTTATCTTGAATCCAAATATATATATACACAGAAATAAACATATGTATGTCCCCAACATAAAAGCTAAACAGATAAAATAAATATACCATATTCTAAACGACATGCTTGGTTATCAACATAAAATATTAAATGAAGAATAGTAGTTTGTGAAATTCCCCATTTTGTTTCGTCTTTTAAAATTTTTTGTTTCTTTTCATAATACATTTCCGTAGCTATAAGTATATTGGATGCTTATTTGTTTTAAACATAATCAGTGTATTTTTTTATTAATAAAAGATTCATCCTCAAGATATTTTACTGTGGANTGCTTATTTGTTTTAAACATAATCAGTGTATTTTTTTATTAATAAAAGATATTTTACTGTGGCAAATTAGAGATATGCGTTCTGAATTAAGATTTCATTTAAATTTTCATTGATTGACAAAGACTATTTTTTTAATATGCCATTTCCATTATTTAAAAGTTGAACAATGTTGATGTATGAAAAATATTGCAACCGATTTTTCTTATTAAAAAATATTGTACTAAAGCAACCGTTTGTTAATTGCGACCACGTTCAAACCTCTTATAATTTTGTTCCGTATATTTAATTATGTATATTTAAAGTAAAATAAAATGACAGTGAGTCGCACTAATGGCATTTTTTTATGTTATGTGGTGTTATTCGACATGCTTACAGCACCGACGCGGCTCACTGTCCGCTCTGTTTTCATTAGAAATAGCATAACTAATTGTCATCAACTGAAACATTGTTTAGTTTGATGAGAACTTCTGGCAATTGCTGGTCGTTCGACTGATTTGAATTATTATTATAATTGCTTGCTGTGCTACTGACACTTGCTGTGCTAGCGCAGCTTTCATTGCTGTCACCACCGGCACCCGAAGCGTCCAGCGCCTTGCTATTGCCTTGCTGTTCTTCTTCTTTTTCCATTTGTAGAAAGTTGGGGTCCTGTGAGGGACACTCTAAGTGCACACAATGAAAGATCTGTAAATAATATGAATTGTAAATTTCTCGGAAAATTCGTAAAATAAGTAAAGAAAATCTTAAAAAAAAAGCTTCACTACACATTACTTTTTTCTTTAATTTGGATTACTTACCTCATTAGCCGTATTGCGTGTACCCACAATGCGTATAAAAACGATCGGCCTTGGCGTGAAAGAGAAATTTTGCCATGAGCGCACTTGTTCGTTACGTTTATCGACAACGATATGCCAGTCCTTTCCATTCACCGATGTTTCAATGTAAAAACTATAAGTGCGATCATCACAATCCCATAACAGCAAACGCATTGAGCCAATAACGTAAGGTTGCCCTGTAATTTAATCCAAATTTTCATATGTGCATGGATTCCATTATCTTATATTTAAGACTCACCTAATCTAACAACAATTTCACCGCTACCCAATTGATGACAGGTGTAGCCTGAGTCCCAATCATAATTTACAAAATCACCATTCAAGAGTGCATTTCGCGTACGACTCACACCGTCCACAACAATAGCGCTCATATCTGTGCGTGCAACATTCGAAGTAGGTGCCACAATTCCATTGATCACTTTAGGCATAGAAGCGGTATACATCGCCTCCAAACCAACAACATGAAATACCTACGTAAAAAAAAAAACAGAATTATTTCAGAATTCCACTGCTAATTTTACTATTAAACGCACTTTATTCACAGTGTTACGTGTGCCCACGAGCTTGATGTAGCGCACTGGACGCGCTGGGAAATACAAGAANGTAAAAAAAAAAACAGAATTATTTCAGAATTCCACTGCTAATTTTACTATAAAACGCACTTTATTCACAGTGTTACGTGTGCCCACGAGCTTGATGTAGCGCACTGGACGCGCTGGGAAATACAAGATTTGCCATGAGCGACAGTAATGCTGGGTGTAATCAATAACACGATCCCAGTTGGTGGAATTCGCTGAAACCTCTATGAAGTAGGAATATGAACGATTATCCCGATCCCAGAGAAGCATCTTAATATGGTTGATAATACAGGTTGTGCCCAGTTCTACAGTTATTCCGCTGCTGTCATTAATGTCTGAAATACAATGGCGCGTATAGCCTTTTTCCATATCATACGATGCACAGTCGCCATCCAACAAAGCGGCACGACAATCCCCTTGAATAGTTCTTGCACCAAATTTTGCTGTAGCCACATTCTCTTCGGGCCAGAGGGCTGCACGATATGGTAAATATTTAGAAGTGGTCTGTTCCTGAATAGCATCGAGTAATTTGTCGGGTTCTAAAATGCCCGAGGGACGCACAACCTGAAGCAAGTCTTCGAGATTCATTAATGGCAAACGTACGTAGGAAACTACAGACTAAACATAAGACGAAAAGTAAACTAAAGGTTTTTTCTAAGTTANGTGGTCTGTTCCTGAATAGCATCGAGTAATTTGTCGGGTTCTAAAATGCCTGAGGGACGCACAACCTGAAGCAAGTCTTCGAGATTCATTAATGGCAAACGTACGTAGGACACTACAGACTAAACATAAGACGAAAAGTAAACTAAAGGTTTTTTTCCAAGTTTAAAAAGCAATATTCCTTACATCAATATTAATGTTTGAGTGGTACTTGCACCACTCCCATACGGCTAAAAAAATCTCCACCTCAGGAGCAAAAAATGAATCCCGTCTGAGAACTTCTTCCAACGATTCCTGTAAAACATGATTTTATTAGTTTGACTTGATGTTCCAAATATTGGAATTATTCGGACCTCAGACAGCGCTCGGAAGGATTCATGTTGTAATATATCTGTTGCATTGCGATCCATAAATGTCAAACAGACTTCTGTAAGCTTCTCTAAATTGTAGAGACGTGCAGCATCCAATATAGCGCAAACATTATCCAATGCTAAATAGTGTCGCAAATATTGCGATATTGCATGTTCTAATTCGTTGAAACCGTACTGATTTGCCAATCCCAAAGTATCAAGTATGTTGTTCTCATCCATCTGTGCCAGTGGCATACGACCTGAATATATGTATTTTAACAAAGCTTTGAAAGCATCCACGGGAATTTTCAGTTCAATTTCGCTTTGATGGGACTCGCATAGACCGCCGAACAGCAGCGCTCGAAAATATTCGCTACGTGCCGCCAAAATCACGCGATGCGCTGGTAGCCGCTCATTTTCTACTATGAATGTCACATCCGAGTAATCATCGTTCATGCAGAGCTGTGCCATTTGCTCCGAGAAACGTTCTGAAACAACAAATAAAAATGGGTTATACATTTCGCATAAAAATCGAGTCACAGCCCTCAGGATTATGAAGGATATTTACCTGTTAATTTTACATCATCGCACCGCGCCTTTGTCAACGATAGCAGCTTATATTGACTTTGGCTGCTCATCTTTTACAATGTGTCGTTTAACAAATACAAATACTTAAAAAGAAATTTAGTGAAACAAAATGCAAATATAGTGTCAGTAAAAATATGTAAAATCTGAAATATGGGGCAAGCAGAAAAATATATGTACATAATTGGTTATTCTTACAGGACAAGCAACGAACAATTTTGTGCAATTCAAGAATATTCAAAATGAGTTATTGCTAAATAACTTATTTCGAGAATAACTGCGTTTTTAACTGTTTACTTACGCCGTTTTTACTAAAATTTATTAATTAAAAAATTGTTTTCCGGCAGCGACGCAATTATCTCCTCGCTTTATTTTTCTGATTGCTTTTGATCCGCTTCTTCGTCTATCATCGTACTAAGGTTGCCAGACGTGGTTGATATCTATTCTAGCGGGTTTTGTCATCAAAAGAGAACAGTAGCTAAATTCAAAGTTATAATTTAAATACTTTTTAAATACATACTGTACTAAATTTAAAAATCTTTAAATCAAAATTTAAACACCTTGATAAAATTCGCTTGAAATTTCTTACGATCTCCACCTTCATCGAACCGCAATTGTTTGCATAAAACGATATGGCTACCTAAGCCATTTTCAGAGTTGCGTTGGAAAATAAAAACGCTCTCTGATTGTAGCTTTGTTTCCTTACTTTGCTAAAAGATAATTATCACGAAAAAGAAGAATCGGAAAATTCAAAGAATTGAAGCAATATTCCCACGTAAATGACAAAACTCAGCGGCTGACTATTGTCTTTACTACGGCGCCTAATACTATGCCGCAAATTTATTTTAAGCTCTCGTATGGTGACAATTGTCATTGTTATTGTTATGAAATACTGAGTACGCGACAACGTCGAAACAATAGGGGTATTCATCTAAAGTAATAAAGTTATAGATTGTTTAAATTTATGTTTATCCGCATGCTTTCATGAACGCACCTTGGTAGATAATTACATAAAATTGTTTATCATTTAACTTATATGGATAGTTCATTCTTACCTCGTCCATTATGTTCATTTGCCTTTATGTGTTCGTAGCAAAAGCGACCACCTGGCAATCTATAAGGATTGCATTTTGCTGAAATTTATACATTTATCCACCAGAGTCGTTTGATAAAGTGATAAACTTTGGTTAAATAAAATGCAATAAAAAGTTTGAAAGTTCATTTATATAAATGATAAATTTATCATTTAATCAAGTTTATCAACAGTTTATCAATTTTGATGAAGACTCCTTATGTTTATATTGCGTTTTAGGCGCCGTAATTGTGACAATATCATACGATAAAAATTGCGAATGTTTTGCGGCTGGGCTTTCTGCAAAATCACGCAATGCACTGCACGACTACACTTCCGCCACTCGATCGTGATATTTCAAATCATTGGGCGTCTAAAAATTCGCTTAGAGCAGGTATTATCTAATTTTTTGGCTGATACTTTCGCGATAATTTTACAAAAACATGCAATTTTTACAAAAACCTGCAATATTAAAATTATGAACACTGCTGCAACAATTCTATACTTTTTCATTAATCTCTCTTCTTTTCCTGAAATGTGTTTTGTGCACGAACGCAGAGACTTTTTACAATTTTGTCATATTTGATAGTTAAAACTCTCATATTTATTGAATTTTATTGTAATTATCTACTTTTTAATCATCTCCACAGATTTTATGCAAGATTTACGAATTTTTATGCAATTTCAATACAAATATTGACTTTTTCACTAATTTTTCCCCATAAAATGTAAGCAAAAAATGTGTGCATACCGATTAGCAAACGACAGTGTCGTATTTATCTATTTCTGCATCTTCTACAATTTGGCGATAACTAGGCGATAACGACCAGTGTGCAAACCTCCATTTAGATGCATGTGATCGGCTCAAAATTTCAGGACGAGGCGATAACGCAACCATGATTGGACGACAAGTGTGCAGATAGACTTAGAGTATAACTCCACAACAAGCTTTTCAGGCGTTCCGCGCTTTTCAGGCTTACAGCAATAGCTGAATTGTGTATCTGAAAGGCTAAAAAGCGCCAAATGCCTGAAAATCTTGTTGTGGAGTTGTACCCTTAAGCCTGCTATGCAGTTCAATGCGATCGTGAGTGTGAGCTTTTTATATTGAGCATTATCTTCGTTATTACTTAAATTTTTGCAATAGGTAATACATCAAAAGATTGAGAATTACAATATCTTTCAGAATTATAAAATAAAAACATAATATGCCTTTTTTTAAAGCTCACACTCCAACTGTGTGCGTACGCAAAGCTTTCGCATGTGAACGACAAGTTTTGACAGATGTGTGTGAACGTCCTTTGCGAACGTTCACGCTCACACTCGAATTTTACTGTATAGCAAGCTTTACGCTCACAGGGCGCGAAATACAGAAATTCTTCTTCTTCTTATTTGGCGCTGTAACCGCCTAAGCGATTTGGCCGAGTCCAAAACAGCACGCCAGTCATTTCTCTTCTGTGCTAACTGACGCCAATTGAAAATGCCAAGTGAAGCCAAGTCCTTCTCCACCTGGTCTTTCCAACGCAGAGGAGGCCTTCCTCTTCCTCTGTTCCCAGCATCGCGGCCCGCGTTGAATATTTTCAGAGCAGGAGCGTTTCTGTCCATCCGAACGACATGGCCAAGCCAGCGGAGCCGCTGAATTTTAATTCGCTGCACTATGTCTATATCGTTGTAAAGCTCATACAGCTCATCGTTAAATCGTCTGCGATATTCGCCATCACCAACGCGTAAAGGTCCGTAAATCTTTCGCAGAATCTTTCTCTCGAAAACTCCAAGAGCCGCCTCATCAGATGCTTTCATTGTCCATGCTTCCGCGCCATACACCAGCACAGGCATGATGAGTGACTTATAGAGTGTGATCTTTGTACGACGAGAGAGGACTTTACTTCTCAATTGCCTACTCAGCCCAAAGTAGCACTTGTTGGCAAGAGTGATTCTCCGTTGGATTTCAAGGCTGACATTATTATTGGTGTTAATGCTGGTTCCCAAATAAACGAAGTCGTCTACTTTTTCAAACTTGTAACTGTTAACAGTGACGTGGGTGCCAAGACGCGTATGCTCTGACTGTTTGTGTGCTGACAGGAGATACTTCGTTTTGTCCTCGTTCACCACCAGACCCATTCGCTTTGCTTCTCTATCCAATCCCGAGAAGGCAGAACAGACGTAGCCCTTGTTTTTACCGATAATATCGATGTCGTCGGCATACGCCAGCAATTGTACGCTCTTATAAAGTATTGTGCCTGAGCGGTTCAGAAATTGCTTCAGCTTTATTCGATTTTTTATAAACATTTTTTTAAATTTAAGTGACAAAAACCAAAACAACGTCAATCAGCTGTTTCTCAACTTCTGGACACGAAATGTGGTTTTTTGCGTTCCCATACTTCTGGAATTTGTTCCATTACCAAAAGCAAATTTTTCGCTTATCCTCTAATTACCGGATCCGGTCCGGATTGTTAGGTAAAGAACTAGTATAATAATTTTCGTAATTCAATTTAATTGCGAACATGCTATATGGTTTGCCCAAAATACAACTCTGATAACAGCTGACTGCATTTGTTTACTTCCTACGATTCCACCAAAATTTGATTTGGACAAGCTTTCGATTGATAAATGAAGGTAAAATTTAAGACTTTTAATCAAAGTAATTGCTTGCATATTAAATTTTCATTACAAAGATGCGTAAGCGTGAATTACAAAGCATTCCACTAAAGCTTGCCGAGCTGAAAGAGTACGATGTTGTTCGAAATGAGCGCGCAATGGCACGTAACCAAGGGCAGCAGGAGGATGCAACGCCAGAACAGCCTTCGCCAATTGCCAATGTTGGACCGAAAACAAAAAAGGAAATACAATCTAGGTTGAATACCACTTTGTGAAATAGAAAAAGTCTTTTATTTCGAAAATAAATTACGGTTAAGTAAAAAGGAACATGTAGTACGTGCGTGTCATTTAACGCACCGAGCATTTGGAAAATAATATAACATCCGGCCGGTTTTCAGTGCCAGTTTAAACTTAGGTTACGTAAATTGCGCTTATATTCAACTGACTGACATTTGATCAGCTATTCTTATTTTAACCCAGCTAGCTCGACGATTTAAACTAAATTTAAACTTAAGGTATGTAGTTATAACCAAGGTATATTCAACAAGCTAGAAGTGACAACAAAATTAAGCTCTTTGTAGTTGGCTATATATACTGTTCTCTGTTTGGCACTTCAGTTCAAAAGAGCCAACTGGTGAAATAACTTCTACCTTGTTGAATATGCCACTCTTTTGGAGTAGAAAAGAGTTTGAAATAAATGTTTTCAATGTAAAATAAAACCTGATTCAATGAAACGCATTTTTGTGTCTCCTCCGTCGTAAACCAATGGATTTCTGGGGGCCAATTTTCCTTTGAAATTATGAAGTGAAAATGTAAAATTCAATGTCAATGAATATTTAATTTGTTCACTTTATCATTTCATCATCATACATACATATACCTATATTTAAGCGATTCTCGATCATTAAAGGCTTTTCAATTGACATCTAGCAAGTATTATCCTGTAAACCAAAGTTCGCGAAGTCTCATTCCTGAAACGATTTTTTTCCGAATTTTCAATCAAAATTTTAAGTACTATTTAAGTAATATTTATTTATTTATTTAAAAGCCAATCGGCTTTGTACATAAATAAATTATTGACTAAAAAAGTAATAACAAACGTGTGTGTTGTGGTCGCTTTAACAGAAAAAACAACAACAACATTGCAATGTAACATATAATGTTACAGATTATTTTATGAAGTTGTTGAGACGAACTCGTAATGAAATTTCTGTACGAAAAATAAAGTTCTGAAAAAATTCTGCAAGAAATTTTTTACACAGCAGTATTATTTTCATTGCTTTACCGATTTTATTCCAAAATTTCGTAAAAGAATGGAAGTGTGCAGTGCACAGTTTATTTCATTTTAGAAAATTCAGAGAAAAATCGGATGAGATCTTTAAGAATTCTTTAAAATTTCTCAACAATTCAGAATATGTACTCTAAAGAAATGGTTTGCATGGTTGTGGTTTTGTGAAAAATTTCACCTTTCGTTTTACAGCGACAAATCTGTGTAAAAGTTTTCACGGTGTGACAAATTAATTTATTTCCATTTAAAAACAATCCAAGTTTTATGTAAAGTTATGAAAAACGTTTTTACTTCACGATTTCACAAAACAAGAATTGGCTTCTTGGGCCATAGTTACTATCAAATTAATAGTGTTAATGCAAAAGTTCCTGTTTGGCAATTTTGAAAATTTAGAATTTTAGGTTCGATCAATTTTCTGTGCAGAAGCTCTTTCGAATGACTGTAATTTCCATAATTTTTTTTAGTGATTAACGAACGAACTCTATACGCAAAATACTTTCGGTTTGCCATAAATTCACTGGGTTACACTCACACGCCGGCACCAGCCCACGGCCGCTCCTATACAATTTTCCCTTACGAAATATGCCTTTAAAATTGTATGCCGAAATAATTTTCTTGCCCATTAACGATTAAAAATCTTTACTATTATTATATTATTAACACAAAAATACAGTTGACATGTAATTTTATTAGAAATTTACTATTTTTTATCCTCACCCACAGCCGCTGCAAGCATTTGCAAATTAAACCGTTCTGGATTGTTGCCGACGTAATTTTTCTCTTGCATTATTACATCCATGTTTAATATACACTTGTTTATCAGCAAATAGTATAAATATCTTATTATCACCTATTATTTATGAATTCACTAATTTTACTAATTGCTGTTCAGCAACGAATTTTGACACTATAATAAAAAGGAAATTAACTTAAAATGTTTGTTGTAGCGACGGAAGTGCAGCCAGCCACAGGGTAACACAGGTATCGATTTTATTTTGAAATTATCGATAGCAACGATATTAAATAATCGTATTTATTAGGTTGGTTCCACACGAGGCCACACGGGTGCCCAAATGGGTAATAGAGAGCGAATACTTTCCACTTTTGGATCATAATTGTCTTCCTCTTCGTACCCAAAACAGCCCGGACATTTTTTTCGGGCAGAAATCTGCCAGAAGTCAATTTGAAATAACAGCTGTTGTTTGTTTACATCACATAAATACACATAAAATCATTGTATAGAATTGATTTGTTGATTCCGGACACGAAAAGTGGTTTTTTGCGTTCTTCACGCTCTGGGCACTTTTGGAAAGGGTTGACGCTGATAACAGACGATAACAGAACTAATAGTTTACATCAGCATTGGCTACTGGGGCCATCAGCTCTACGTTGCAGGAATGAATTGTGTATTGGAATTGTGTTGTGTCCTGTGATTTGAGTATTGTTTGTTTTGCTTCACCGTATAAAGGGCAATCGTTGAGGATGTATTGCAATGTTTGCTGTGAGTTGCAGGTTTCGCAGAGTGTTTGGTTTTATTTTTTTTAGAAGATATACATGTGTTTGGGTCATGTGACCAAGACGGAGCCGAGAAAATATATTGGTTTTAAAGCCGTTAATATTAGTGGGGTATTGCGGAGGTATTATATCTTTGTTGATGGCTGAGTGGTGTGGGTGTTGGTAGTTATGGTAGTTGAGTTTTAGATTTTTCTTTCAGGTGTTGGTGAATGTGATGTTTTATGTCAGTTTTTTCTATGTTTGGAAGTTAATATTTGATAAAGTTTTATAATAATCGATATCTAGTTTTAAAAACTTCTTAATTTTGATTTGCAAACACATGTGTCACCCCGTATATTGCTAAACTTCCGTCACCACAACAACCGCTTCACTTTTGTTTCCGCCTTTACAAGAGCAAAAAATTAGCTGCTCATTTGCATTTATTAACAGTGGGAAAAGTGATTTTTATCAATAAATATCAAGATAACAAACGTTTTCCGTAATAAAATGTGCAGTAATTGATGCTTTGTTAACAAAATAAGTTGAAAAGCAAATCGGGCGGTTGTATAAATGTGTTTATTTTGCATGGAAAAATGTGAAGCGCAGTGAAAGTCGCCACGGCTAGAAGTTAATTAAATACCTAATTTTTAAATAAAAAACAATGTAAACGGGATTTTTGGTTAATAATGCAATTCAATTGCGCATTTTCTAATGATAACAACAAAAAAGCTCATGCCGGCAGAAATATTTAACTGCTTTATAGCGAGTGAAACGAGTGCACGTCCAGTTTGCAAAAAAGTGTGAAGTTATATTGAAATAGTGTTGGAAATGAGAACTTTCTTTTCGAAATCAATTCTAGTTTGAGCGTTTTAATAAAAGGTTTAAAAATATTTGTTCCGGCAGTGCTTTTTATTATTTTTTTCACGAGTACAAAATATAACGCGTTCGCGGCCGGCGCAGTGTGGTGTGTTATAAAAAAGAGATTTTATTATAAAATAAAAGTATGCGCAAATTTTGTTCGATACTAATGCAATAAAATAATGATTTTCTATTTAAAGTAAGCAAAATAAATAATCAAGTAGAGATTTTATGTGTTTTTGGAGGTTAAATCTCATATTGGAAGTCAATAAGTTGCATTCGTCTTTTGGCTGCTAATGTATAAATGTGAAACAAAAATTTTTGAATAAATAAAAAGGTGAATGGCAATTTAAGCGATTAATATAAAATTGGTAAGATCTATATATTTAAAAAAAGCCATCAAAACAATTGCCCCGATATCGTCAAAGAAAAATTTTTTGGATAAATAAAATTTGCGCCTAATAAATACATAAGTATGTCTGTGCAAAAAAAATTTAATTACTATTCTTGTAATAAAGAAAGCCTGTGTGATACAAAAGGAGTTATTGCATTTTTAGACTAAAATTCTGTTGCAGGCAGTGTATTTTGTGTAATGTTGTATGTGTGAAATTTAAAAAAAGCCTTCCACGCGATCGGCACTGACGAAAATCGCTATTTGCTTTAATTTCCATTGATGGGCTTTTGTTTAATAATATGCTTAGTGTTAGAAAAAAAAAATATTTAAAAATTTTGTATGAAAACTAAAATGACCACAATGAAACTGCAAATTTCCTGCAATTTAAAATGAAATTCATTGGGGTAAGTCATCTTTTTATAACCACAGTATTTAAACACTTTTTTTTGGAACATAATTTCGGTAAAAAATAATTGATAAAAAATTGTTATACTCGTAACAATTTTTTTTCGCTATAGATCTGATTATTTTGACATACATTTAAGACCCCGCAAAACTTACCACGACTTAGAAAAAACAGGTAGAATTTTGTAAATTAATAAAAAAAAAGGCGTGAGTACCAGGTACCTATGAAATTTGATGTGTAGACATACATATGTGTACGACAAAGCATAAAAGTACGTTTACATATGAATATACATAATCTCAATCAAAGCTCGTTTGTTAATCACCTTGTTTACACAGGCAACACTCAGATTATTACCCGTCAAATTTTTTGTGCTTGTTATTCTAATTTAAGTTTCTTCTGTGTCACAGTGAACACTTTTTCTGTTATACATATTAAGCAATTTTAAGTAGTCATAGAGAAGTTATAACAAGGTTTTAACGATTAAAATTGTGTTTTATTGTAATCACAAATTTAACTCTTTCATAGTCAACTTAAAATGCATTTTATGGCAAAAACAGAGCTTTAACTTTAAAATGAGAGCGCGGTTTTAAAATGATAAAATAAGGTTCTAACTTTTGTTTTGTGGTTGAAGTAGTAAACGCACCCAGGTTCGGCCCCCACTCCGAGCGTTTTTTATTTTAACATAAACATTATTTTATTTTATTTTATTTTATTAAATTTTTTTTATTATCTGTTTTTTGTTTATGGTATTTCATATACATAATTATTTCGTTATTAATCAAATTTTTCGGAGTTTACTTTTAATTAAAAAAGCCACAATAACTATAATTAAATAACAAAAATTTAAATAATATTTAAAGGACTAAAAAAAGATGTAAAAAAATTGTCCCTGGCAGTGGGATTCGAACCCACGACTTCCCGGCTTGCTAAATCCGCAATCCTGCAGCGGGCACAGGGTGAACTAATTAAAGTACTCAAATTTCTATATATTGCCGGGTACATTTTTTCTCTTCATATGGATAGCACTGTGCTCTCTCATCATAACAAAAAGCTGTTTCTAAGATATCTATGATTGACACAACTTAAAAATCTATTCTAAACTTAAAACTGTGTTTTAACAAGAATGAGTTTTAACTTGCGACTTTGACTATGGGCCAATGAGTTCAGCTCAATAACAACTTTCCTAACAACACCACTCCGTAACTGTAAAAATGTA